TTCATTTCAATGGTCTTCTTTCAAAAACTAAATACGTTGTTGTCCGACTTTTCATTAGACTCTTCGTCTAACTCTTTTTATATCTTTTGATTACTCGTTAGAACACAATTACTAGGCCTTATCTCCCAAATTCATTTGCGTGGCATACTTTTAAGCTTAACACAAAGTAAAACATAATTTTACTTTTGTACATGTAAACAAAAAATAAAAATAAAAGAAAACAACAAAACACTATGCTTGTTCTTGTTTATTTCATTGTGTATTTAGACACTTTTACTCGTGGATTAAGACTCATTCTCCCGCTTGCTTGGGTTGTTTTTTTTTTTCTTGGTTGTCAAATGTCTCTATTTGCGGTTTTTATTTTTTCTCAAATTACTTTGATGCCATTGAATGGATCTCGTGTTTTTACGTTTTTTCCCTCTTGTTTAACTCTTTCCTTCGTCGGTTTAGTTTCTTTGATCACATGCCTTTGTTTGTTGTCCTTATTAGTATTATTTTTGTAATTATTTTGAGGTCATTGAGTAGATATGCGAGTTCTTACGTTTTCGTCTTCTTTTCTTTTCTGTGCACTTTTTTGTCTTTTTAGTTTCTTTTCCATCGGATCATTTAATGCGTCTAGTCGTTGATTTTACAATTGAGCTTTTTTTCCAAATAGGATAGTTTTAAATTTTTATTCCTAAAACATGATATTTTTAAACTTCTTTATCAAAATAAGTATTTATTGACACATAGATATACATGTCATCAAATGGTATGATTCGATTTTTCACATCTCACTTTAAACTTTTCGAGTAAAACCGAAACTCACCCTTATCCTCCACTTCTCTTTTTCTCTTTTTTATGGTAAAGCTGAAACTCACCCTATAGTTAATGTTTCTTTGCAAGTTTACACATCACCAAAGGCACTTCTTCATATGTTCGAATGCGTTGGGATTCCCATAATTCTAATTCAGCCCTCTTCCTTTGTCTCTTAAAAATTGGTTCTTGCAACAACCTTTTCTTGTATGAAATCTTTTCATTCTTTTATGATGGTGTATGAATCGATTCAAGAAAGTTTAAATGATTATCTTACCTATCCGTGTTTATTAAATCTTGGGTCAATGTTTTCACACATTCCATGCCGGTGTTGCAAACTTGCAATGAATCAAATGACATAATCCCTTCTTCTTCCCCCCCCCCAAAACTAACAACAGATTATGTACAAAAAGGGCATCAACTTTTCTAGGAAAAGAGACAAATGCAAATTTAGCCCCATTTAAGGTACCTTTGGCTAGTAACATTGGAAGTAGGGAACTGAAATTTTTTTACCATCTACATTTTGTACCATTCCTTTAAGTTTACGGGTGAAGGTAAATGGCAACTCTTGAGATGACATACGTTGTGCCAATCATTAGCGTTGTAGGCGATGCCTTTGTCTCCTTTATCCTGTGGAGTTGATCTTCAAAAAGAAGTGTCGTGGACTCTTTGAAGCACACTTCGAAGTACTAGATTTTTTTTTTTATCAAGCATTCACGGCCAGTGGACGGTTCATCGAGGAGAAAGCTCGGATAGGACTGCTCTCCTCTTCGGTGTACAACGATCTCATTTGAGAAGAAGGCAAATTAATTATAATAAACAAAAAATGATGTGGATAAAAATATCTTATGTGACAAAAAAATATCTAATTTGAGAATTAAGTTTAAAACTATCTCATTTAAAGAATAAAGATTTAAAAATATTATAATTCGGTAAAAAGCTCTAGTTGTATGATCTGTCTAGATATTCTATTCTACTCTTGTTTATCGGGGAGAAGGGATTGAATTTGAGTTTTTTTTTTTTCAATCTTTCTTGATCCTTGTTCAAGTCAACCATAATTTTCGCTTTCTTTAGAGTTTTCCAAAAAAGTTTAGATAAGATTTGAGAGTATCTTCTATCTAGTTTCGTTAAAATTGGCCCAAAACCCCGTCAGTTACGTGTTATCGAAAGAGTAAACACATGCCAATTGTCTTAAAGCTTTGTTGGGGTCATACATGCAAAGCTTTCATTTTTATAACCATCATTTTTTTTTTCTTACACAAGCAAAACTCTTAAGTTTTACTTCATAATAACATGACACGTATGTGCTTAAGTTTCATGTGTTTTATTTTCATCTACGTACTATCAAGTTAGCTTCTATCAAAATAAAAATGTATTACATGTGAAGAGAGATAGATTAGCAAATAATTTTTTAACCAAAAATTTTAGACAAAAATAACTCATTACCTATTTGTTATTATTGTTATTATTTTACTTAAATCAAATGAAAAAAAAATTCATTTTATCAGTTTAAATTAAGATTCATATTGAATATTTTTTACTAAGTGCACCACAGTGAAAAAACAACAAAAAGTAAGAAAAATTGATCAAATATCATAATCATTTAAGGTATTTTCAATTTTTTAAAAGTGCGTTGTAATGTAAGAGTTAGATTGCATTTTAATTAAGTTCTTTTTTTTTTTTTTTGTAGGAATGTCAATTTGTCTATACTTGTTCGGTAACTAATTAGACCGCACTCATTTCTCATCTGATTATCGATCTTGATAAAGAATGAGATAATTATAGGATTTTAAAGCTTATACCAGCTAGAGGATGAGACAAACATGAGATAAGATTTTTGGTCATTCAGTGCTTGATTATATTATGATGATTACATATTATTTTTTTAAGAGAAATAAATGGAATGACTTTTAAATCCTTGATCTTAATATTTATAGTTAAAAATTCTCATTTTATTATTCCTAAACTATTCGCAAATTATAAAAATATATATAATTCATATTAGAGGAAAGTTATTGAGATGGGTGCCCTAAATCATAACTAATTGGTAAAAGCAGAAGTTGGTACGCTCGGCTTCTCGCAACTTAAGATGCTATCATGCTAAAGGAAAATTGGAAAAAAAAAATTAACCCACATTGCTACAAAAGAGATGGAAAGGAAGCTATCTTCACTATAAATGATATAAAATTCATTTATTTAGTGTAAAGCAGACCAATGCTATACAAGCAGCCCAATAAGGTGTGATAGCCTAACGAGCCTGTTAATGCAATATTTGAGTCATGAAATAGTTTTTCTCACAATCCTATACTTAAGATTTTTTTTATTTTTTATGTAAAAGGCAGCCACTGGTCAGATGATTGATGGTTTGATCAAATAGTCATTCGATTCTTTATCGATTTTGTCCTATTAAGGGTTTCTAACATAACCAAACCGGTATTGTAATCGGTCCATGGGTGCCTTGATTAGTCTCGTCAATTTGATCCAGTCTTAATAACTATGGTCAAAAGGAGCGGGTTGATTAATTTTATTAAGACACATATGTTTTTAATAATCATCCCTATACACAATCACTCAACATATAGAGAGCGCACCATGAAAAATGTTTGAGACTTTGTAAACTCAATTGAAGAAACTTTTAGTTTGAGAGTTAATTGTAGGTTTTTCTAAGAACATATTATATTTGTATATAATAACATAATAAAAATTCTAATTGATATTTAACATCAAAATTGATTTGATGAATAAGTAAAATAAGAAAAGATAATGATGGATAAACAAAACCCATTTGTTCAAATTTATATTATATAGCAATAAAAGTTAGATTTTAGATAAATGACATATGGTTTACTTCTTTTATGGTTTTTCTAATAGCTATAGATGGTGAGCTCTACCAGGAAAAAGAAGGGAGGGTTGGGTATCCACTATCCCCATGAAGCCCCCTCTGTTTGCAACGATGAAGAATGTGAACTACCTCCCTAATGTTCTCTAATTAATGGAAGCTAAAGATAAGGGAGCAGTTAATTATATCTGGGTTGACGAAGAAGGCTTATTTCCGAGGGTCCAAATCTGAACGTGGCTTTCATAACCCAAGCTAAGGAGTTTGTCTTGCCTCTTTTTGACAAGATCCTCAGAGGGTGCACTGCATTAAGGCTTGTTCAACCAGTACCTAAATTGATTGGGAAAGGTTGATTAACAAGTGTTGAAACTGGTAATTTTTCTGTGCAGGAAGCCAAAGGGGAAGCTGAAATGATGTATCTCAGAAGCACATTTGCTATATTGCTAATTGTGATGTGAGATGAATCCATAGGAGATGGTAACAACTATAGTTATTATTATTTTTTTATGAATGAGATCAGGATTTCATTAATGAAAAATAAGAGTTTATAACAGAAGCCAATAAGCATATGGCTAAAGACAGATTAAAGCAAAATCAAGAATTATAGTGCAACTTTTTATTCATTTTTCTGTTCTCGGAGGGCTTCGGTTTCATTTCTCCATGTTTGGAGTAAAAATGAATTCCCAAGTCACAACTATGCACTCTTTCTTGCATTCCATAGAACATTGGCTTTGAAACAATTCGTATTGCTTTTGCACCAGGAGGGGATTCCTGCCTCTTATTTGTAGCCAGCTAGAGTTTTTCAGAACCTGCTCTCGGATGAAATGGTTGCTGGTCCTGAGAGGTTACCTGTTCCTTACAAGGAATGAGCCACATACCGATCAAAATCAATGAGGCCAACAGAATAATTTGAAATTGCACTGCTTATTCTGGCATGACTTTGAAAATTGCTTGCTTTGTTTAATTGTTTACACATGATTCATGTCACGATGAATAAAACTCTTGTCAAGCCCTCTTAATTACACAACTAATCCCAGTTACAGCTTATTAAACCACATAATATAAAACAAAACTTAGTTCTCTTTAATATTATACATTTGATTACCCTTCTCGCATAAGTTCAAAATACTTTTACTTTAGTTTTAAAGATGATTAGACATCATCGTTCCATTTTAATCTCAATATAAACTTGCTGATAAAGTGCACAAAATTAATTTATAACAAAACCATAAAGCTAATTTCATGATGATGCAGATCAAAATCCTTGATCCCTCCTCCCCCCGCCCGGGTCTGATCTTACCATAACTGCTAAAGTTTCTAACTAGCACCCTTGGTTCTTCTGTCTGGGTTTCTGTCCTTTTGTTCAGATCTATGCTCCTGTCTTCCAGTTTTTTCTCTTAGTTTTGAAGCTGGCTTTCACATCCATGTGATTGGATCTCGACTTCCCTGCTACTCGCTTGTAGTCACTTAGCTGTCTGGTCTCTTCCACATGCTGTGCAGCTGCTATCTCACTTTTCTGCTGCAGATTTTGCTGCTTGTCTCTTGCAGTTGTTTTATCTTTATTCTTGACTTAAAAAAAAATAAAAATAAAAAAAAAAAAAAAAATATATATATATAGAACGAAGAAGTTAGTTTGATATCAGTGATGCCACCAATTATCTCCATAGGTTATACAATAACAACTAAGTTTTGTGTCGTTGCAGAACAACTCCCAGCTCTTTTCCAATTCTCTCAAGATTGAAAACAAATTTCCCTATTCCACCCAAACCATAGAATGATGCCTTCGGAACGACGTATAGCGAAGCATCCATGAATTCCTTTTCTTTCCCAAAGATCCCAAATTTAGATGCTTCACCTAATCCAGTAGAAGCTGGCCACAGCTCTACCATCTTAGATGAAAAAAGCAAAAAGCAGAACGCAAAAGAGAAAAGAAAAGAGCGGTCTCTGTAAGAGAATAGGAGAGCTCAAAAGGATAAGTTAGCGATTGACATAGACTTTGCAAGCGAAATAATTCCGAGAGTGCATCTGGGGAAGTATGCTGCTCTCTTTGAAAATGTGCAACTTTCACACCATTCAAAAAGCATCTCTCTGAAATTATCTTGCACCTGCAGGACCCACATTTATTTCTAGTCTCCATCTATGTGAGTCCTTTACAGTAAATTGCTGATGGATTCGAATGACATTTCTAGGCCACTGATTGTGACTTCGTAACCACAATTTCCTTGCGCATTTACATCCTTGTCCTTGTCCTGTATGTTTCTGTAGCAACAAGCATAGTTACATACCTATTCTTTACGGTCTAATTTGACAATTAACTTTCCACTCTTTAATCTTCACAGCTGTTCCATATTGCAGAATAGCCATTACATGTCAAAAACATTTTGCAGCATATGTCTTGAGACTATCTATAAAACAAATGATAAATTACCGCATAGTGGTTGCCATAAAGAGAGAAATTCCAGAGCCTAGACCATATCCAATCTGGAGAAGTTCATCTAAACACATCATCAGGATACTGGCAAAGCAGAGCTGTGCGACGATAAGGATAGAATTTCCTACTCCAAGTAGTTCTAAAGGACCATACATTCCCATCAGAATGTAAGTAACAGCTTGACCAATAGCTATCAATACGCCCAAGAACTTTTCTGCAAATGCAAAGGGGAATGATATGTCAAACCTACATGCATACAACAGAAATTAGGAAGGCCTAACAAAATTTGGAAGGAATGTTCAGGTAAATTGAGTATAAGTCGGTATATATAGAAAATGAGATTACTTACTGAAGTTCGCAATCTTCACGAACATTTTTGTCCACTTTAATCAACTTTGTACCAACTAAAAACTCCATTAGCATCCCAGAAGTCACAAGAGGACCAAGAATATAACGAGAGAGATCCCGGCCTTCACTCTGAAAAGAACCATCTTCACAGGACGCTGCACTTCTGGTATAAACGGAAGGAATGGTTTGACTAGTTTAAGGGAACTAATTCCCCTTCCCATTTCAACTTGTCAAAATCGAATCTAATTTACCTGTATGATCATTCGAAAACAGTTTCAGTAAAATTAGTCATTAGTCCTAAATCAAACTTGACAAGTTTCTTAAGCTCAGAATATATAATCATCGAATTGGTGACAGCTAAAGCACCATCATAAATATACAATATGCACCTTTAAAACCTGAAACTCTATTAAGTACCCCTCTAATTACAGATTGATTACTAAATAGTATAAGTTTAAATTTTATCCTTATTCATCATCATCCCAAATATATGAAGTTTGAAAGAATAAAAAGAAAAAAAAAAAAGAAAGAAGAAAAACAATGGCAGTGAAGAAAAAGCATGAATTGAACATTGAAGAACAAACTCTAGACCGCAATCTTTGAAAGAAGCAGGCCAAAAGCATTGGCCGCCAACTATTTGATTCGTCTTTTCTTTGATAAGTTAAAATTATATCATCAAGAGTACTCAATACATATGTGCATGAACATGAGTACTTTTTTACTAAGTCGTCAATTAATGCATGCATACTTAATACATAAACATGATGTTCACATTCAATTTTGCGTAGAGTAGAACTATTTTTTTTTTTTTTTATTGACGAATCAAAATTTTATTTAACACCCAGTAATTAATCAAGAAATAGATACGAAAACTTCAAATTCAAGAAAACTCGGTGGAACTACTTCATATTACAACTCCTAAAAGCTATGGAAACTAACTTCATTGAAGTTCCAAAAGATCATGAATTAAGAAGAGACTGGACTAACCAGAAGATTTTCCAGAAGAGTTGTTCTCTCGAAGATATATGCGAGGTTTTCTCGTAAGAATAACAAAGAAAAGCGTAAGCTAGTTTGTGACATGACAATACTTTATGTTGTTACCCTCTCTATATATGCATGTATAGGTATAGATAGAGGCCAAACCACTTCCGACACCGATTACCAGTCCTTGTCTGCTTCAACTTCTACATTGGCGCGGAATGAGATCAGTTTTACTTGAAGTTGGTTATATATATTTGCACACTTGTGATTTATAGCATTTTTAGTGGGATGAAAAAAAAAATAATAATAAAATATCCGTCTGTTTATAATATGGAAACATAAGAGTATTTGATTAGTAACAGAATTGTTAATCGTATTAGTGTAAGCAATCCTTCTTGTTTTCTGAGAATTGAAAAGTAATAATCAAAATTTTCCATATAAAGAAGCGTTAATCGGACTGAATTTGATTGGCTACTGGGACGTCAAAGAAGGGTTTTGGGCGAAACTTAAATTAGTCTTGCAATTATATATTGAATTTCAATTAGGTCCTTGAACAAATTTTCTTTCCAATTGGATCTCTAAATGAAGGTTCATTGAATCTCGAATATATCATTTTTAAAACGTGAAAATTTTTAAATTTTGAAACTTAATTAGTAGAATGGTTATGAATATTTATTATTTCATTAGCCTAGTTTTTCAATTAATTATTAGTACTTCTTTTCCCATTTTCCTGCTATTTCCGTTTCTAAGCCACCCCCTCTCTCTCGAGATGACTGAAGGCCAATAATAGCAACTCTTCCACAGCACTCCAAGAGTCGCAAAATTCACCATTAAAACATAGTATTTTCCCTTTTTCTTTTTTCCTTTTCTTTCTGAAAAGGAAAAAAATACAATTAAAGCATTACTACTGTTAATAAACAGAAAGCAAAAGCAAAAAAAAGGAAAAGAAAAGAAAAGAAAAGAATCGCATCGCAAGCAAGCAAACGCAGAGAAGCGATTGAAAAAAAGAAGAGAAAAATCCATTTTGATCAATTAGGGTTAGGGAATTCGTGGTAAATCAAATCAAATGGCAACACCGCAAACAGGAAAGGAGCAAGAAGAGAGCAGCAATGCGAGTGCCAAACCAGGACTTAGAAAGCCTGTTTTCACCAAAGTGGACCAGCTTAAGCCTGGAACTGGAGGCCACACATTGATTGGCAAGGTCCTTAATTCCGATACTGTCCTTCAAAAGGGTCGATCGGTCTCTCAGCATCTCCGTAAGACACGAATCGCTGAATGTCTTATTGGGGATGAGACTGCTTCCATCATTTTCACCGCAAGAAACGATCAAGGTTCTTTTTTCTTTTATTTTCACTTCATCTTAATACTTCTCTCTGATTTATTTAATGTGGCTATGTATCTGTACATTGTTATGTTTTCTTTTTGGATTTTGTTTTATAATTTATCCATTTTTTCTTAAATTTAATATTTTCTGCTTGTTTGTTGAGAGATTTTAGTGAAGGAAAAATGGTGCTTATAATTATGTATATTTATCAACGAATCATATGCCTTGATGTAAAAAATTTTGGGTTCTCTGCTTTTTTTTTTAAGAATTTTAGGATTGATGATGATTTTTTCTTTCTCAGCCTTTCTGTTTAGAAATAGAGAAGAAAATATAAGATTTGGGATTGTTTTAGTCCCCAAAAGTGAAATGATCGTTGTGTTTTTGGTTCCTTTTGAGATTGGAGGAATTATATTAGGCCTGCATTGCTTCAAAATGTCATTAAAATTTACATTTGCTGTTTAGAGTATATGATGGTAGAAGATTCCCTAGAGTATGATGCTAATCATTATAGGAACCATAGTTCTAGTTTAACAATTATGATTCTTAACTCAATGAGGCGGAATGATGGCTATTGGGTATGTATGGGGGATGGTAGCTAAGTTAATATAAGAGGTCTGGAGGCTAATAAAGAAAAGCCTGTTCTCCTCAATTTGAATTGCAAAAAGTAGCCAATTATGTGTAAGATCTCCCATTTTAATGCGTGCTAATAAAGAAAAGCCAGTTCTCCAATGGGAAAGGCTGAATTATCAGTCAATCTATAGAATCTTGATGGATTTTGGTCTCTTAATTCAACTGCCTGCTTTATTAGAAATGATTATACTCTGTGTGCCGTGATCTTCTTGTGAATATGGTTATTGTTTATGTGGAATAGAAGTGGATGGGTGCAAGCTTTGTGTTGTTCAATAGAGGGGTTATTTTTAACTTGGTGAGCTGAATCTGATGTTCTGCATGAGAGGTGTTGTTCTTCAAATTATTGCTTACTGCTTATATGAAGCACTCTGGTTCTTCCCAATGAATGAGTTGAAATTATTTGAACTGATTTTCCTGTTTATGACTGGTTGCCTTTGCAGATGGTCTGACCTAGATCATTCTAGTTGAGTCATCAAGATGTTGTCCAACATGATGTCTATTAGCGAATGAACTTGTTGCATCCTCTCTCTCCCCCTCTATTTGGTTATCTGTTGCTTTTAATATATGACCCTTGTTTTCCAGAGACTTAAACTATATTATTGTTGTTTATAGTTTGAGCTTGTTGACTGGAGAGCATATCTTCTTTTATATCCAGATGCACTCTGCTTAGGGGTTTTATATTGCTGGTTATGATTATAGTCTTCTAAACTCATTACAATTTTCATCAGTGTCCTCAAATTCAAATGGTTTTGGAAATTGTGGAACAAGCTGTATATGGCTAAAATTGTAGGTCATCTGTGATTAAAGGTTTATTTGTTACTGCATTATTGCTTCTGACAACCTTTTCTTTTTCCCTCAGTTGATCTGATGAAGCCGGGTACAACTGTTATCCTCCGCAATGCAAAGATTGACATGTTTAAGGGATCTATGAGGCTAGCAGTTGACAAATGGGGTCGGGTTGAAGTCACTGAGCCTGCAGAATTTGTAGTCAAGGAAGACAACAATCTCTCTCTTGTTGAATACGAGCTTGTGAGTGTTGGAGAAGAGTGATAGGGATCTCGTGGCCAGTATTTTGTGATACAGAGTAGCTTGAGAAATCTCAAAATTGTGGTGGCACTTTTCTAGTTTCGAGTAGTATTCCTATGTGGTTACAGTTAATTTTGTGGATGGTGTATGTAGCTTGGGATTGGTTCATAGACATGACAAAAACCAAACCAATGCTTTATTTTCCTTAAAGATTACCTCCATGAATTAGGTTTTTGTTAGTTGCTGTCAGGGAAGGTGTGGGCCTTGCATAACATAGAAATGGAAACAAGTGTTAATGATGTCTTTTATGGTTTTTGAGATGAGATTTAACCTCCATATGTTTAAACTTTTGCTGTAATGACCTGTTACTGACTGCACATCCTTACAGGTTAGAGTTTTGTATTGTATTTTAGCTAGTGTTTGAATGTCACAGCTAGACCCTCCTACCTTATATTCTTTTGTTGCCTAAATTACTGCCCAGACAATTTTTTTTTTTCCTCCTCTCGGACAACTGGCTCTTCAGTTTTGCTGCTAGAAGCACAGGGTTTGGACGAGCATTTATTGTTAAGAGAGGCTATGGAAACTTTGCACTACCTTTTTTTTCTTGAACGGGCCAGAGCCCAAACACAGTTTAGCTTATTGGACATTTTCAAGCACAAAATTGGGGGAAAAAAAAAGAAAGGAAAAAAAGGAGATTAAAATGGCTCATTCAATCATTCATAGAAGGGAATCCTTAGCTTTATCCTTAATAAAAACACTATAGAAATTGTAGCTCTTAATTCGCTATCAGGCTTTAATTTATTTCCGAATAATAATCCTGACAACAATAAGACAAGACGTTAAGACTTGTGTTTTGAGTGGGCGTGCTTATTTATCAGAAATACTCTTCAAAACACCCATGCTAATTGCAATGCCTTGGTTGACAGCAATAGTCCCAGCCAAGATCTGGCTCGGCAATGGAAGCTTAGGACTCTTTTTGAAGAGGTCCAAGCAGCGGTTCACGAAAGGACTAACTTGAGAAGTTAATTGATCCATGGCAATACTACGCCAATTAATATTCCCCTCTCGAATGGCAACTGTGGCACCTCGAAAATTATCATGTGCCATGAGAAACTGGATTGAACATGTGTCAAGGGTGTCGTACATTGGATCTGATTTGGGAGTGTTCTGCCAGAGGTTGAATGTGAAATTATATACGAGTTGTGCATCGTATTCTGCACAGTACACCGTTATCAGTGCTATTCCCCTACCATCTGCAGTCTTGCTAGTCGGATCACGATGAAGGCAATCCGTGCAAAGGACTGGTTCTTCTGTTTTGTGGCATAGGTTTTGGATCAAAGCCTCGTCGGATTTTATGACATGAAATTGATAAGACAAGGATAAGAGGTAGAGAGTGAGAACTAGAAGACTATGGGAAGCCATGTTGCATATATGCAGTATTTGGTTTTTGTTTTTCTGTGTCGTATGATAAAAAATCATCTTGGTCATTTCTTTTATATTGCTACGATTTGTTATTGTTTTTGGAAAATTTTTATGTTATTCAGGAATAATTAACAATACTTACATTACATAAAGACATAAAAAAAAAAAAAGAGAAATAAGAAAGTGATTTTAGATGGAAATATTCTTATCTCTTTTTTTAGGTTTGGATACAATTTCTCTCCTTTTTATAAAGTAATTATTGTTAGTCGGTTAAAATATCTCTTTTTTCTTTGTATTTATCTCTACTAATACTATTATTTCCTAATTTGATGACAGCAGAAATCCCAAAGATTTTCATTAAGAGAAATTGTAGAAATCAAAACGGAACCTTTCATGATCTCTAGAACATGATACATCATATTTTTCTAATTTAAGTTATTTTGAATAAATGAATTGACGAGCAAGATCCTACTAGTTAATATTACTTAATAAATCATTTAAATCAACACATTTTTTAATGCTTATATTTAATATAAAATTTTAGCTTTGTGATAGAAAATCTGAAAAAAGGGAAGAGAAGCAAAGAATTCTATCAAGGATTCAAAATCAATTGGAGAAAATATGAAAATATATCCATAAGAAAGCAAAATGTTTATACATATCTTATATCTAAAAGTTTTCGTTACATGTATTTATATATTGTTGATAGGACGAGCAGCTACACTTTACTCTTTAGTCTGATATTCCTCCATTTTTCTCAAATTCTCTGTCTAAAGGTTTAACAAATCAATAAAAAAGAAGTTAATTTCACTTTATTTCCTTGAAATAAATGGATAGGTTTCGATCAACAGTCAAAATTTGAGTTGTTGATTTAACTGTCAACTCAAATAAATAAAAAGATAATACTTGTAAAAAATATGATCATTCAAGGATAATAGATAAACATAATGGCCTTGTAGTTATTGTCGATTAGGAAAAAAAGAGAAATTGAGGGCATGCATTTATTTTATAAGCTTACTATTAATTTGTCTCTTTTAATAGATAGAGGGTAAGTGTAAATTATCAAAGAGCTTGTAACTTAATACTAGTGTCTTCTTGTAATAAAAAATCATGAGTTCAAATTTTAACGAGGCTAAATTTATTAGAAGTTTTCAATTTTTAAGTGAAAAAAAGAAAAGAAAAAGTGTAAATCCCAGGCCAAAGACCACATGGTTGGGGACGCTCTTGATTGCCCGTCTGGGGACTGACTGGATGAGATTCGTTAATCCTGTCATAATTCTTTTTAATCCTCCATAATTTTTCTTTTAAATCATCATTTATGTAAAATATTTTAAAATTCAGAAATTTTGCATGTCACATAGTTTTCGTGATTTATGCATGATTTTTGTACACGATGAGGATGACAAAAGGTACGTTAATAAAAACTCATCTTGATTAGTTTAATTCTATTGTTATGGATTTTAGGTCTATTGATTTTATGCTCAAAGATAAAGATGACGCCCTTATGTTGTCATGTTCCTTACTAGCCTCTTATAACCATCCTAGGAACACTTTTTTTTTTTTTGATTAATCCAGGATGTTCGGGCCGGGTTGCACGCACCTCGATTAATTCTTGGAGTCCACCGAACATCCTGCAAGCCTAGTGAGCATGTAAGGCATTGCGGGGGTGATAGACGTACGCATAGAGAATCGAACTCGGATGATCCTCGGGGGATAAGCTCTCATTCCGCTAGGCTCCGACCTCAAGCGCCCTAGGAACACTTTCTTGTTCGGTGAAGAGACCGTTTTGCGTGTTCAATTCAAAGTTGCCTTAATGTCTAAAGCAAAAATTGATGGGCACATTAGTGGTGATGCCAATGATACTTCTGGTGAGGCTTTGACTGTCAGAGGTTCAAAAAACGGATTTTGGTAATACTAAATTCAAGTCTAATGAGTCTCTGTAGCATAAGAATGTGACTTGTAATTACTATCGTCACGAGGGGCATATTAAAAAAAAATATTCGAGGTTGAAAAAGAAATTAGAGAATGAAGAGGGAGTAAGTGGTGGTGAAAACTCTGGAGAAACCAATGTCGTGGTTGGTACTCATTACGAATTTGAGTGTGTTCTTGTTGTGACTAATAATGCAACACTCCAAGATGAATGAATTTTGCACTGAAAAAAAATGGCTAATTAGTTACAGAAAAATACATCGTTAAAATAATATATTTCGTCTTTAATCTCATTTTGTAATAATGAAAAAATTTTTGTTGCTAAAAGCCTTATAGCTAAATTATTAACGATGAAAATATAGTTTGTCACTAATTTAGTGATGGTCAAAGTGTTGCTAAAGTAATGTGTGTCGGTCGCTAATTTCGTCAAATTAGTAATAGAAAAGTTGTCGCTATATCGACGTCCACCAATCGCTAATGTGATGAAATTAACGATGAAAATTTTCGTCACTAATCCGTCACTAAAAAGTATGTAATATATTTATTATTTCTATCGTTATTTGGTCATTGATCCATTGCTAATGTAGAGAATATAAATTTTTTTAAAAAATTGTTATTAGTTATTTAATGTTTAATTGTGGTAGCAAACAACTAAATATGAAATTGTAATACGAAATATTATTGCGTTAAATAAAAATAAAATGAAATCAAATAAAAAAAACATACAAATGCATTTTAGTGTATGAAAATAATAAAAAAAAACTACAAAAACAACTAGTTTATACAATCATCGTCGTCTTCATGCAACTTACTTGTGTAATAAGAGGGTAAGGAGGAGGAATGGATGGGTCAATGTGGGTCCGCATCTCTCATAATAACTCGCTGCATCATTTGCATCTATCTAAAGTCAATCCATGCATGATCCAATCTCGTTTTTTCTTTACGCATATCTAAACCAACACATAATTACTTAATTACCATATTTCCTAATTATTTAAAGGTTATATATATATAATCTAACACAATTTTGGCGGAGTCTCTCATGTAAATTGGACATAGATAGATGCGGATGATGCGACAGTTATATCAACACGCAAGTGAATCTAAAGTATTCTAAATTACTAATTAACCGAGCACACTAACTAATTCATAAACAAGTCACATAAACAATCAATTATATCGCACCGAGATCAAAATTAATTTTTCCTGGATAAAAAATTAAAAAAGATAGCACTATTTATGCTCTTCTAGCTCCATTGCGAAGTATTGACTCCGACCTTATACCTTCTCAATAAATTCTCTTGCAACATCATATCCACAGGGTGTCACCCAAATCGATTACCAAATACTTCAAAATTCTTCAAATATAACATTTAACTATAACTATACTTAAATCACATAAAATACAATTAACATATTAACTATAATTCAAATTAAAAAAATAGATAAATAAAAAATTAGATCGATAGAAGTAGCATCCGAAAAAAAGATTGTGGTACCTAAAGTTTTGTCGTCGGTTATTGGTGCTAACAAAATAAAAATAACAAATCAAATATACCCCATTAATTAATTAACCCAAAAAACAAACAAACTAATATAACTATTTTTTTCTCAAGAAAAAAGTAATAAAATTAATAATCACAACTAATTAACAACTAATACAAACATTAATTACAATTAAATTATTACATTAACTACTAATTGACATAAATAAATATATGGTAAACAACAACTAATTAAATAATAGAAATACCAACAACAAAAATGTAAAACTATTATTAAAAAAAAGAAAAAAATGCAAAAAAAATCTAAACTAATTAAGTAACATAAATTAACTTATATTAACACATTTAATTATCAATAATAATTAAATTTATAACCAATTAACATCAAATAACATACATTAAACTAAAAAAAAAATAATAAAGACAATAATAATAAATATTATTAATTAAAACTTAAAAAAATAATAAATAAATAAACTAAAAATGTACCTGGAATGAGGAGGAGTCGTCGAAAAAAAGAAGCCACCATAGATCCACCCTAAAAAGATAAAAACTAAATATTAGTTATTATTGAGTAATTGTTTTTTAAAATATTTACCAAAGAATAAGAGAGGGGTAAAAAAAATGACATGTAAAGGAGGACGAGGCCCATGACTTGTCAACGTGGGCTCGTGGGAGAACACAAGAATAAGGAGTCGCTACCTCGCTTAATCGAGAGAACTAGAAAACCCTAAATATATTGATCTTTATAGATATCTACATAAAGCGTCGGTTACGTATGAAAAAGATATAACATCATCGTCATTTCATCCTACCTAAAGTAGGCTCGTATTGTTTGTATGTGAAAATAAAAAATAAAAAATCTTATTTTTATTATGCTATGCTTCTATGCCTATTTAAGTGACTTTGTTTTATCGATATGGAATAGCGAGGGTAATTTGAGGTTCAAGTTGGTCCGAGGTCAATACCCATATTCAAAGGAAAAGGTGGGGAAAGTTAGAATTTTGGCTAATCTATGACGATCATGATCTATACCAATAAGTAAAGATTGATAGCCTTTTATTAACATTAGCAATAAGTCATCGACAACCTTACTCACATAAATGGGAAGCTATCGGTGACTTCGAGTCATGGATTTATGAAGTGGTCGACAATTTCATCACATAAATAGAAAGCCATCGACAACTTCATTTCGCTCAAGCAAATAGTAGGTAAAAGGTTTGGAATCCGTAGTTAGCTTCATCCACATAAGTGGAAAGACACCGGCAACTTTATTTCTAAGAAACAAAGAGGCAGGTAAGATGATTTGAAAGCTGCATGTAGCTTCATTCGCATAAGTGAAAAGCCACTATTAGCTTTATTTTAGACAAACCAAAAGACAAATCAAATGATTCGAAAGTAATAGACGGCTTCGTCCACGAGAGGTAGGAAGCCACCGATAACTTCATTTGTAATAAATAAAAAGGTAGATAAGATGATTTGGAAGCTACAAGCAACTTCATCCATATAAGTAAGAAGCCATCGACGACTTCATTTCGATAAACAAATAGGCAAGTAAGATGATTT